TTAAAAAGTTATTTAAAAAAACAAACAAACCAAAAAATTAAAATAAAACTCCACCCAAAAAGGTGATAATGACTGCAGAATGTCTCGGGGAGACTTGTACGGAACTAACAAGATCGAAGAAAATTAGGCTTATACAGAAACCAGGAAAAAAAGGTCATCTATAGAGAAATCCCACAACTGGAAGCAGATGATTTCAAAGAGGGTGTGGGAGCCGCTGTAGAGATCCCACAGTTCTTCCTCCCTCCTCTCACATGTGCCTTTTCTCACCTCTTCCTCCCCATAGCAGCAAATACAATGGGGAGAGAGCTGGACACTCCACTACCAGTTACAGAAAACAGGGCAGGACAGCCAAGCTCCAGCACGGTCGCTAAGCTGACTGCAAGGAAAGCTCCTTTTAGCATGGAGGCTGCTTACACAGCAAGCAGAAGCCAAAGGGGGAATGGGAACTCCTTAAAATTAGGAAAAACTCTCCAAATCATTTGATTTGCCCAAGTTGAGCAGCTTCACCTGCGAGAGGCTGCGGGTGAACGGTGCCAATTGTGAGCTGGGCAGCAGCTGGGAGGTGAACGGGGCTTCTCCTCCTCTCCCTCAGGTTGCTTCACACATTTTTAAAAGGCTGCTGCCAAGTTTCTTTTTAAAAAGCTACAAATAAAGAGGTCAGCACACACATCCAGTTGTGGGATCCATCCAATACACAGTCTGGTTTGGATGCCAAAGACTTGTGAGTACTGTCTGCCACAGAACTATAAATCAGGTATTTTTAACATTACAAAGAAGCAAATAATTTCTTAAACATCAAACATTCCACAAGATTTTCTTTTTCTTTTTTGCTTACAGATATATTTTCCCCATATATATTTCACATGTAATTCCACCATGTCTAATGCTTTTTATTTCCAGAGACACTGCACCACCTGTTGCTTCCATCTCTCCCAACACCGCATGTTTCAAATGGAAGTTGATAATTGTGTTTTCCTAGAGCTTTCAGATCTCAGAATCAGTTGTTTCCTGGCATATGAAAACATCCAACTGGTATATCCAAGGAAAGCTGCCTTGCTGGATGTACCTTGTCACCTAAACCTTCCCAACTGCTGAACACCTGGCAGTTGGCACTCAAATCATACACAAACTCACTGGAATTGCAAAGATTGCCTGGGAAAGATCAATTATCCATGTTACTAAGCTACAGGCACCCAATTTTGAATATTATGGCCACATACTTTAAGCTTCAAATGACTGGGATGTTCCTATGCAGACAAATCCACGTTGCCACGTGCCTGTTTTTTTGGGAAATTTCAGGAAAAGCTGCAGCCTCTTTGCTTACCAGTGTTCAAAGACTTCCCACGACATGATGTCACGCTTGCCACTAGGAAATTATATTACAAACAAAATAAGCATTAAGTTTGTTCTCCTTTCCCTGCTAATTAAGCTCTACTTGCATCACAAGAAGTGCCTCAGAGGCTGTGACAACACTAAGCAATTACATTCTTCTTCCTACAGAAGAATAAAGACCACATGTTAACTGTGTAAGGACACTGTAGAACATTCCCCAAAATTCCTTACTTATACTGTGTAACTTGAACTAACTTACTCCAGCCTCTTTCATCCATTGGTATTCCCACAGAAAATAATGCAGTTGGTAACACTTGACTATGGAAAAGAGAAGTCCCAATGATGTTTTTGACATTTCAGTGCCTGCTTGATGTGAGAGCAAATCAATTTGTGCTACAAAATAATCAGGATGTTGATTTACAAGCAACAACCACCCAGCTCTTGGCATCAAGGCTGTACCCAAAAGGTGGCTCAGATCTGCTTCACTTCCCTCAGAAATTCAGTTTACATTACTCAAGGGAGGCAGATGTTTTTCCAATTCATGTCAACTCAACAAGTTTTGCTTCCTGGGTTGTTTTTTTTTTTCATCCAGGTGACCTGATATATTACGATACAAGAAATTAAGTTGCTGACACAGAGTTTTGGTTGTTTTTAAATCAGCAACATTAGGAAGCAAAATGGAAGGCTGTGTTTTGGGAAGTGGATTATGACAAAACTTGAATCATGGCCTAGCACTGCTTTGTCTATCCTAGGACCACAAACACTTCCTCATACACACACAGACAAGCACAAAACTTGCACACTGCTTGTATGTCTGGGTGTTTTCCCTATTTTAGAGCAGAGAAGGAAGCTGGCACTCCTGCCCCTGAGCCTCCTGAATACTGGCACTGAATTTCTCAAGACTATAAAAGCAGGTCTGAAATAGCCAGTCCAGCAAAGATACTTTTTATTGGGGTTCTTCAGATAACTGTTGGCTTTGTTATAGTCCAGATTTATAAATGGCAATGGAAATGAGGGTTTGTGCTACTTGGACTTAGATTTCTCTCTGAATCTAAAAACCTTGGTACCAAGTCTGCAAGAGTTTGAGCAGATCAAGGAAGGGAAATGCAAGTGGCTTTCTTGTATTATCAATAAAAGCCTCAGTCCTGGCCCTTTCTAAGACAGAATTTGCCCCACCTTACTCAGTTTGTGCTGTCAAGAGACAATATGACCATACGAGTTTGGTTCTTGTACATCTAATTTAATGTAATGCTAAAGTTTGACAAGTCTTTCCGGTTCCAATGGGCTTAAAAGTCAGTCACATTTGTAACACAGATTTATCTTTTAATGTAACTGAAGAGATTTTCCATCAGTATTCAATTTAGATTTAAACACTCAAAGACAAGGCTTCTTGGATTATGAGATTTCTGTGTTCCTTCTCCCTCTCCAAATGAGCCATTCCATCAGCTGAGAGAGTGCATGAGAGACTGAAAACACATCACAACACCCCAGATACATCTCAGTACATTGCAAATTGTATGACTCAACGGAATGATTTTCCACAATTGAATGCATGGGCAAGGCTTGACAATCATTAACTTCTGGAAATTGTTATTAGGATAATACAGTCAACTCACGATACCCTACAAACGCTTGACAATCAAAATGGCTACACCAGGGGAAAAAAAAAAGTGTAAAGCACAAGTCTTTGGCTCTCCTTTAAAGAAAACAGCAGTTTACCATGTTTATACAGATCCCCCGTTTGCCTACCAGTAGGGGCAATATCACATTTGTGCATCACTGAGTAATAACACCATTAGAAAAGGCAACTTCACAGAAGTTATTGGCTAAGCGAATTCATTTGAATGCTCTGTTTTGAGGCAGCAAGCTGTCACTGTTACACAATCAGGGAGGGTGGATGGGCAAGCCACAGGAGGAAAGGAGGAAAAAAAGAAAAAAGGGAGTGAAGGCTCAGAAAAAACAAGACAGAAAAGAACTTGAGAAGGAAGGGGATAACTGTGCTGCAAGCTTGAAAAGTGCTCTGATCTAGAGAAAACAAGTCCTACTGTGAAATGGAACAGCATGCAAGAGGGGCAGAAGAAACAGGTTAAATTTCTCCTATTAAGAAATCAGAACTAGGTCACAGGAAAGGAAGAAGAGATGTTGACAGGAGAAGGAAAGTAACACTACAGAATAAACAGACATTTCTACACTGACTGTATCACTGACACACTGAAGCTCAACCTTCCGCTTGAAGCTTTCTGTTCGGGGGGGTTTGTCTGTGCCGGGCTGGAACCCAGGTCAGTGAGGGTTCAGAGTTGTCTGGTGCAGCAGGAAATTCCACCTACCTACCAAAGGATGCAGCAGTGCCCTAACACCATGGTAATACTGCTCCTTCTTGCCCAGGCAGAAGGAACTAAAGCAATCCGTAGCCAAGACCAATGTCACAGAGGTGGGCAGCACTCCTGTACAACTGGGACAGAGATGGGCAATGAGTGTTCCAGGATACAGAGTCACTCCAGACATTTTGACTCTCTGCTTATTTGCTGTAACCATCAATGCTGCCAACTGCATGGAGAGCTCTCTGTTCTCTGAGTTCTCCCAGTTTTTCCACAAAAAGGGAACATTTCACGTGCAGTTTTCAGAAAAAGACTTAAAAGCATGCACTGCACTTTGCTGTTCAACTTGTTTTAATCAACTAAACTTCTGCAGAAAGAAAAAAAGAAAGGCAGAAAAAGGGTAAGAGGAGGAGGGGAAGAACCAAAGCTAAAAATCAATACTGTTAGTAGATATTAAACACACTATTTAACAAGCCAAACTATAATTCTGGGCAAACAGGGCATTCACCTGGACACACTGATCACAACAAGGACACTACGCACAAAGTACAGCATGGACAGACAACAGTAAGGTCTCCTTTCTAATCCCCAAGTTTTGGAAGCATTCACCATATGCAGGCCAGCAATCTGAGTGGTTCTTACTGCAGAATTCCTCCCAGTAGAAAAAGTGGAGAAAGGAATAATCCCTAATCTGGCAGGGGAACTAGTCAAATAAAAGGTAAAAAGGTTTTTGCCCTCCAGATTTTCTTCCTAGTGTTGCAAACGAATCTGTTGGAGTCAAACCTATTGTAACCGTCTTTGAAAATTAATTTTACATCCACAATTACTGCAGTCAAAAAAAGGAACATTCTGGGCTTGTCCTCCTAGATTAGAATATTGCACTAATTATCTCGACTAAGGTGAGCTCCCTGTGTTAATAAAGACACAGCAGGAAGGTATAAACTAATTAAAACCAAGGAGAAGGCTGACCTGAGGGTGGTGCTCTGCACTAAATGATGGGAGGAGAGGGCAGGCTGCCTGTGCCAGGTGACTTGGGAGCAGGCAGCCAGGGAAACACCTTCATCATCCTCCTGGCCAGAGCAGAGGAGGGAGGAACAGACTCACAGCTGCATCCCCCCAGCCCTGCTGGGCTCCAGGGGAGCGGCTGGAATGCTCGGCCTCAAGCAGCAGGTACGGATGGGGGGGGACAAGCTGGAGGTGAAGCTGCTCTAGTGCAAAGGTGGTTCTTTGCCCAAAGTTAGGAGGGGCTAGAAAACAAAGCAAGCCTCAAACTACTGTTGGCAATGAAGAGGCCAAAGTTCAACTAAGAGCGAAATAAACCCATGTGAAGACATATGGAGAGTGTGGGGGTGTGAGCTGAAAAATGCCTTTATTTTCATTCAGTGCTTCTACCTCCCAGACATTTGATCACAACAGCTGCGCTCATGCGAAAAAATTCTTAAAACATACCCAATATATATACAGATATAACTATGTATATATGTATATATATATTTATATATAAATTTTTATTTAAATAAAAAAGAAAGCTCGAATCCCAAGCCAATATGTGTATCAAATCCTTGACCAGCCAGGTCTGTAGGGCATAATCAAATTCAATGTGAAATAGTATATAAACGCGGTGCCTTGACTGGGCAAATTAAATAATTGCTACTCAAAAGAGTCTTCTGTTTGGACTCTCCTACTGGTAGGCAATAGTGGGACTGTATCCCCTCCCACCCCCCCTTTTGTTTTATTTAACAGTATGATGAATGCAAAGCTTAGCCCAAGGTTGCTACGACCTCAGCAGGAGTTAAGGTTAAGGAAAAAAACTAAAACCCAAGAAAATTCAATAACTCTTGCTTTACCCAACCAAAGCAATGCAGTAATTTATTACATAACCAGTGCTTTCCCATTTAGTAGTCTAACCCAGAAAAAAAAAAATGAGAACACAGGCCAAGAAGGTGCAGAGGGAGCAGCACTTTAAAATCGTTCTCCAGGGTTCTTTGTATCCAGGGTCTCACCCCAGTGTACGTCAAAGGAGTCAAAAAATGTGCAGCAAGAATAAAATCTTTCACTTCTTTAATTTTTAAAGAAAACATCAAAAAAGGTTTATGGCTTCTCCAACTTATACTTACAAAGCATCTACTTGGAGAAGCATTGGATCTATCAAGCAAATTTGCTTCCCAGTACTTCTGGCAGGATTTGTGCTGCACCTCCAGTGGCCATTTTGATGCAATATTTTCCTTAGGAAAGGAGAATCCAGGAAGGATTCACTGCAGCACTGCCAGACAAGCTGCAGGCTGACTCTCAGGAGCCAGTTTCTAACATACAGACCTTAAACAACACCACCTTTAAAAAACCAAACCACAACACCTGCTGAATTGCAAGGATTCTGTCACTTGTAGTTTAAATTCAATGATTTAAGAAAGAAGCTGGGGTTCAGCTCCTGGCCACAACGGGAGGAACTGTGTTAAGAATGAAGTTTGCTGCACATCTTTTGACACTGCAATTTCACAGCTACTCTCCAACCCTCATTCCTTGTTTACTCTTAAACCACACAAGGAAGCGGCCAGATTGTTTTAGTCATTGAGAAATTAAGGTGAGAAGGAATTATGCACTGGGTATGTAATAATACCAAAATAAAAGAAAAAACCTACTTCATTAAGATCATACAATTAATCAAACAGAGTATATATATAATATCTTTTTTTTTAAGCCCTGGGATTCAAGGCGTCCAAAGTTATTAAAATAAAGTTCATTCACAGAACAAAAACAAATTTAATTTGAATTGCTTGCAGATACTGCTAATTTTCATTTTTTTTAATTAAAAAATGCGTTAATGTGAACTATGTGCAGGATTTGTTTCTAGTAGTTGTGTTTGTGCACATTGCCTCTGGACCTGCTGCTCTGCTACTGCTGCTGCTCCTGGCTTTCTCCAATTACCCCTGGAAAAAAACGTGATGGAAGGTGCTGCCCCCCTGGCAGGAGGAGCTCGGGGTGTGCTGGCCTGGCTTCATGGAGCAGATGTGGGTGTGACTCCGGCTCGCTGGGAGTCGTGGCTGTCCCCTCCTCCCTCGGGGTCCTCTGACAGGCTCAGAGACGCCGCCTTGTTTGACAGGAGGCCAAGGTTCTCTTGGGTCAAAGCCGATCCATTCGGAACATCACTGCTGGGGAAGGTGGAGGAGAAAGGGGAAGTGGGTGAAAAGAAGGAATTACTGAGATTTTTCATTTATTTCAAGTAAAAGGACTTCAATGAACACATTCCAGAATATTTAACTCACCTGGATAGTTTATCTTGTGTTTGGGGGGTTTTTTTATGTAAAAAACATAAGTGGTTGTTCTGATTTCATTACTTTCAGAGTTTCATATGAAAAAACTAGTTCCTGCTCTGGAGGCTTCAATCTAATGGTGCAGTGCAGAACTCAAGAATGGGTTATAAGAAGAAAGTGCAAACTTCACCAGCAACTGAGGGACACATTTTCTGAATAAATATCCAGATTCCAAACTGCTCACATCAAGTTATGTAAATGTCATGACATCTGAGCTTCTCTGTTCAATACTAGTCTGATGCTTGTGGCCATCTGAAAACACTTGCTGTGGAGATTTCCAGCATTCCGAGCCAACATCTTATTCCAACTGTCTATTAAATGTGAACTGAAATCAATCCCAGCATCTCCACACAAAAAGATAACTGCCTACAAATTAAACAGAACTTAGTTTCAAAGTCACGTACCTTCCTGGACAAATCCACATGACAAACCTTAGCAGGGTGGAATAACTTTCCTTTCACATTTGGGACGTCTATTTTCTTTGAAACCAACATAGCAGGTAGAGATTTCTTTTATGGTTGTTGTTTATCTCCTGCTCCTCCCTATTAATCATCCAATACTGTCGAGATGGACTCCTGGTCTGACAGACTTTGCAAGTCTTCTGTTATATTAATTTACCTAAGTCTCATTCCACTCACCTACTCATCAACTAAAGCAGTCCTTAATTCATGCTTGCACTATAAAAACTTGATTTGTATCCTCTTTTCCTAGCAGATGCTTCCCCATCAGAGCTGATGGGAGGCAGGGGGAATTATTCACACAGGAGAGGGACCCTGGATGAAATAATTCTCCTGTTACAAAGACAGGTTGAAGGCCCATGTTACCTGAATGTCAGTGCGAGGTCCTCAGCTGGAACCTTGCTTTGTGGCTCTAATTGTCCATTTTCTGTCTGTTTAGCGGTGCCCAGTTTGTTTTTCATATCCAGTGAAGACTGGCTCTCCTTTAAAGAAAAGGACAAATGAAAAATTCTTTAATTTAGAAGTGTGTTAGAAGAATTGGAGACTTCATCCCTTAGGGCCGATGATGAAGGCCTGTCAATTGGAGTCACGCAGTGTAACCCACAAAAGCCATGAGACAAAAACAGACTAAGATTTGCTCATCCTCTCGGGACACAGTATTTCCCAAAAGGAAGGGATGATCCTTGTAACAACAAGCAAAGGCCACAGACTGTAACAGCACACAGACTTCTGAACACTAGCCTGTACCTGCAGATGAGGTTTCCTATGTTAAGGCAGATTATGGGACTCATGGCACACTGACCTTGGAGACTGTTTAGTTTCCAACAAATTTCAGCGCCACGCTTATTTCAAATGGCAACAAAATAACAGCATTTTCAAGTGGCTAGAATTAAAATTCTTCATGAAGAAGACTGGAGAAACTTCTGAGGAGGTTTTGAAGAATAAAGAGGTGAAGAGGGAGATGGATGACTCCAGCTGTGGGCATCCAGCCTTTCTGCCAGGGTTACAGGGCTCTTCACCTCTCTGACTCCCACCCCCCCAGCACTCACCATGCTCAGCTCACGGGTTCTCTTCCCAATTTCCCTTTCCACCTGGTGTAGCTCCAAGCTCAGCTGTTCACTTGAGATCATCCCAGGCCACTTGGGAGGCGGGGGTGGGGGCTGTGGTTGGCCTGCCAGGGTAGTCGCCTCCCTCTGCAACAGCAGCCTGTTACTAACAGCCTAAATGCATAAAGCCAAGCACACACACAACTGAGCACAGACACCGGGCACGGGGGAGCTCTAAGGCCATAACGCCACAGTATTGCTCCTTTGCAAAACCAACTTCTCTCTCCACACCTCACAAGGTCCCAACTGAAACCACTTCCAAGGCAAGTTTCAACAGGTCTATTCACAAAGACCTCTATAAACAAGCAGGGTTAAATATCTTTTACTGCCATAAATTTGCATGTGCTTTCCTCACATACCACTCCCTTCTCAAAACTAAGGTTAAGACCCTGAACAAACCCACTACTCTTTTGTGAGCTGTTGCTGGACAACATGTAACAGCAGGTAAGCCAATCTAGTGCTTTATTTTACAGCAGAATTTATCAAGTTCTGTAGGAGAGCCAAAATTATGACCATATTATATAAAACATCCTGAGACATGTAGATGTCCGTGTGCAGCTCTCTACTGTCCCACATTAGCAGACAGAGGAACAGAGAGAAGCAAGTGGCTGCAGCCATTCACAGATCACAAGTTACTCAAAGCAGTAGCCATATCAGCCACTCCAAAAATCTGCTAATAACTTGGGAACCAGTTCTGCAATTGTGTGCTCTGCATTTAAACACAACATCTAGTAGTGCACACAACCCAACACATGGCTGGTCTTCAAGTTGAAATGCTCATTCATTTGGGAAGAAAGCAGAATGATCTAGTTCTTCGTGCTCTCAGTGAATTAAGTGATTGTTGCAACCCTGTAAAGGTAAATCAATGAAGCCTCCTGGATTTCTAATACCTACTTGCAGTTTTGAACGCAAGAGATAAACTGAGAGCTGCTGTTACTCAAAATAACTGAGTAGTTCTGCCAACTTCAAATTACAGTAAAATCAAGGCTCAACACTCAACTCTGTAGGATTTAACACTGAGGCAGTCCCAACAATGATGAGCAGGAGAGGAAGGCCACTCATGGGTTTTGCAACTTTCCAATACTCTTCTATTATGGCAAAGGCAAACATGGAAGATTTAAAATATTTTCTTCTCTCGTTTCCAAACAAGAGCACAAGAACACAAGTTATGTTTCCAGTAACTAAGTACTGCATGTTACTGCAACTGCTGCTGTGACTTAATTGTGAGCTCTGACACCTAATCTGCAGTAACCCTTCTCTAACATGTGTTTTTAGGTAACCATTGCTTCAGTAGAAGCTGCTATCCACTACTTACAGCAATTCCTTCAGTGAAAACATTAACATGAATAGTTGCTGAAGTACCTAGAACAGTTTTCTGATAAATATTTACTGATTTTTCCTAGGAGGAAAACAGTAACTTAAACTTTGCTAAAACAATTCTTTCATTATGCCCTGACACTTCTCCTTCTGTGTCTCACAAAACAGAAAGACTTCAGCTCATTAATTCTTTTAAAAATGAAAGTGAGGAGACATAGACTTTTAAGCTTTAATTTTTCAAGCTAAATGTATTTCACATTTACTTTCTTGACTCTTGTGGCTTGTGCTATTTAGGAAGAAACAGGTACAAACACAAAGCCAAACATGAAACAGAGGAAGGTCATGGCCTTCTGTATAAAAAAAAAAAAATCAGACATTTCCCATGGCAGTAAAGCCAGGAGGAATAGGCATCTACACCATGACTTTGCTTCTGAGAGATGAACAGTGAGGGAGTGAGAGAATGACAGCAAACACGACTGAGCAGAGTGCACAGTCAAGCACGGTGTTGATTGGCACGTGAAGGTTCTGCTGCCAAGCACAGTCTGACACCTGTCCCATAGTCCTGATGCCTGGCATCACGGAATTAAGTGTTTTTACTGAGTTATTGTGACAGTCAGAGAAAGCTCAGCCCGTGAAAAGCAGCTTTACCAGCTTCATCTCTCTCCACAGCACCCCTCACTGCTGTTCCCAGGGCTGGTACCAACCTCCAGTCCCCGCAGTTGTGTCTGCTGGCTGATCTGATGGTCCACCTGCTGCAGCTCCATGCGCAGCTGCTGCTCTCGCTCAGCCGAGGGCAACTGCTTCCCGTGACCAGCCACATCCGACATGGACAGCCTCTCCCTTTGGGATCAGAAAAGAAAAAAATAAGGAGATTTCTAAAAAACAGAAAAAAAAGCTTTACTCAGCTGGTGCAGAAAAAAAAAAATAAAGGAAATTTAGAGAAAGGCAAAGAAAAAAGTCGAGCGATCCTACCTGTCATTGAAACGTCCCTGAGAAGGTATATTTTGATGAGGAGAATATGGAGAGCCTCCCCAGCCACCGTGAGTTCCATAAGGACTGTAGTCTGCCAGGGAACAGAAAGAAAACCAGGTTGCATTACTACAAAACTATCCTTCCAGTAGTTCAGCCAACAGAGAACTGGACAGACATCATCATGGCCAGGCTTCGTGAACGAAGATTTGGGAAGGGCTCTACCCACGTTTGTTACAAGCGCGTTGGTGGCTAAAAAGGCCAATACGAGATAGGCACGTCCGGTTGCAAAAGGCACAGCAGAAAGAGAACTGGGCAGACAGAACAACAAGAAAGGCCAATCCTCTAAGAGTGAGAAGTCTAACATTTCTTCTGATTAAATGAACACAGAAATACTCCACGTGACTGGTCTCGTGCACCCAAAACACTGTGACAGCCCTCCAGAGTATGAAACTGAAGGACTTCAGGGAGATGGGGACACAAACCCAAACTTACAACCACTATGAGAGCAGTTATTTTTACTATTCGAGTTCCTAAAAGACTCAAGAGTTGATTGATAATTCTGACATACCTACTTAAGTACAGTTTGAAGATTAAGTTTTCAAGCAAGTCAGACTTCTACCTGTAATCAAGTCTAGAAAGTTACTACCTGAAAAATCTAGAAGGAAGTTTGACAGAATATAATTAGTTCTTTTCTTAAGGTTATTTAGTGCACCTCAAGAAAGAGACCATCTTTGGGAGTCTGACAGACAGCAACACTATACATACTATTAGAAAATAGGTGTGTTGAAAATGAACTATTCTTACTTTTTTGCTTTGCCTAACAGTACACAAGACAATGGCTGCATTAAGCTTGCAGGAGCTGCTACTCATAAAGCAGGAGAGCAGCAGTACAGTACTTCATCATGATGGTTTTCCATCATGTATTTAGGAAAGCCCTAAGCTTCTGGATTCTACTGCAACAGATTTAAAATAAGCCTCACCTCAGACGGACCAGCAGAACAAAGTAACTTTGTCCAAACAGCAACAACAAATCACTAAGATATACAGTACATGTGCACAAACCTGTCACAGAATCACTGAATAACCTTGGAAGGGATACCCCCAAGGATCCAGCTCCTGGTCCTGCACAGACACCCAACAATCCCCTCCATCCCTGAGAGCATTGTCCAAATGCTCCTGGAGCTCTGGCAGCCTTGGGGCTGTGCCCACTGCCCTGGGGAGCCTGGGCAGTGCCCAACCACCCTCTGGGGGAAGAACCTTTTCCTAAAACCCAACCTGAGCCCCCTCCTGACACAGCTCCAGCCATTCCCTCGGGTCCTGTCACTGATCACCACAGAGAAGAATCAGTGCCTGCCCTTTGGCTTCCCCCTGTGATGAACCTGTTGACTGCAATGAGGTCTCCGTCAGTCTCTCCTTTTCCAGGCTGAACAGACCAAGTGACCTCAGAAAGCAGTGGCAGCCTTTTTCTTCAGGCTTCTCAGTGTAACCCTCCCTGGAGTTATTTTTAGTGCATGACACACACCTCAGCTATACTTCTAAGGCAAGAGACAAGTTTAGAGGGCTCGCCCTCAACTGTTGCACCACGGAAAACAGCACCAGCCAGCAAAATGCAAGAGCCCAGGCCGTACCTGAAATGATGGATTTGGTGGCAGCTCCCTGAACCGCCATGGCCTGCATGGGCCCGGAGCTCTGGTACATGGCTTTGGAAGTGCGGGAGATGGCCCCGAAGCGCGACACGGTCGGTCGGTCTCCGAAGGGAATGAGATCGTCGTCGCCGGCCTCGGCCGCCCGACGCTGCAGGTCCAGCCGCTGCTCCCGCATGGCTTTGCTGTCCACGTTCTGCACGAGACACGGAAAAGGCACTCCAGGACCCATTGGGGGATTAACAGAGCCACGTGCTGGCAGCAGGAGAGGAACTCCTGTGTTCTCTAGTCACTTGAGCTTTCAGCCAGGCTTCCTGCCCTTTAGTTTCTAACTCTGCTGTTAGAGGGGTGTCTTTTTAAGGGTCTGATTTAACATGACCATTTACTACACCCCTGGGAAGTGGTTGCATAATGAATTGTGAATAAATCTAGCAGCAGAGAGCAGCAGCAAATGGAAATGAAGACAGAGAAAGTTTAATGGGAATAGATGGGGGGAAAAGACCTCCTCCTTAGATAAAGTCAAAGATGACATCAGTGGGCCTCTCTGAGGAATATATGTTCCTTCTAGAGTTCAAAAGAAATTTCTCTGAAGCCCACTGTTAAGAACTGTATCACTAACAGCCTGCAAATGACTCAAAATGGGAATTTTCTATAAAGCACTTACTTGGACATGTCTAGTACATCTTTTCAGGCATATTTTTCATTAAGGACCAATACTGCTTGGAACGTCCTGGTTTCTAACTCATCATGGCTGGGCTTGGCAAATGAAGATTTGGGAAGGGCTCTGCCCACATTTGCTACAAGCACGCTGGTGGCTAAAAAGGCCAATGAGAGATAGACAAGTCTGGTTGCAAAAGGCACAGCAGAAAGACTCCTTAGGTGGTAGGTTTCTAACTAAGCTTCATGTTTAAACACCATAAGGGGTCAGCATATGAAGAGATAAAATGCTCTCTCTCTCTCTCCTCAAAGAGCTTAGTTAAATGGGAAAGCTATCTGTTGGCTACCAGAAAATGTAATATGGTAAGAATTGCCAAAATCTAGTTAAGACTTTGCTAAAGAAATAAAACTGTAGCACAGTAAGAATGAGGGAAGTGGGGCTTCTGCACAAGGAGAACTGGCTAAAGGCTAAAAGCTTTGGTATGGTCCAAAATGAAAATAAAACTCTGCAAGCTTTCAGTGGGGATAAGGATGGCTAGAAACAGACAAGATAACACGTCTGAGGCAGGTGAAAACAGCAGTAAAAACTCAGTTGGAAGTTAAGAGTCAAGAAATGTAACACCTGGAAACTAGAAGAGGCACGAGGCAGCAGTACTTTACAATGTATTTTTTTCCCAGAATTCCAATCTTGATGCTATAGGATGCCAGTACCAATTTTAATTTATTTCTATTTACTGAGTAAAGTTGCAATGCCATCAGCATAATATTCAGCATTATGCACTCTCAGATGAGGCTATTCCCATCCTTGAAAAAAGGAATCTCTTGTGAACAATAAAAAAGGCAGAATTAATTCACTGAAGAACTAATTCAGTAAAGGTTTCCTGAGCATTTTTTCCCGTGAGGAGACAAAAACTGAAGAGCAGTGGAGATCCTATTTGAAAATTAGCTCTGGGGCAGAAGGCTTTGTTTAGCCATGAAAAAGGAGGCTGCTTCTCCAGAACCCTACTACTTTTCTTAATTGAGCTACAATTTGTTTGCACAGTTTTCTAGCAGCAGGGCTGAAAGCCAAGAGCTGTTTGTTGATTCCTGAGTGGTGCCACTTGGACGCAATAATCCGATTCCAAGTAATCTCAGTCCTTCCCCAGGTCAAACGTGACAGTGTTGTAACTCCAGGCAACCACTCTGTGCAGGACTGGGAGCAAGAGCACAGCTAAAAAGGCCAAAGCTGCAGATGAAATGCCATTTTCTGTGAGAAAGCCTCCTTTTTGCTCCCATTTCACACAGCATCTTCCAGATCTTACAGGAAAGCAATTCAGTGGACAGAAATCAGACACATTCATTCCAATACGGCAGAGGGGAAAAGGGGAGCTTATTTGAGAAGCTGGACCAAAAAATCCTATTATTTGGTTAAGAGTTTGCAACAGGTGAGCACCTGTCCACAGAAGAATAAATTCTGGATAGAAATCTTTCCCCCCTCCCTTGTTGGCCAAAGAAAAGTCACTGTGACAGTGACAATATATAAATGATGATAAATCACTTTGGCAGATGAGAGGTGAGGGAGAACAGATGCACCTCTGTAAAACAGTCCCTCAGGCTAAATGGTTCTTTCTGTGGAAGACTTGAATGTCTTCATACTTGCATGGGCTACCAAGCCTATTTCTTGTGTTGAGTGCTGCTTGAATGTTAGGAAGAAAGCAAATAGTGGTGGTATTTCGCACTCCTATTTCTTTTCTTCTCCATTCGTGACTCCCAACAATGACACCCCAGCAGCCCCTTTCTTTTGCATCACTGACCCAGCAAAAATAGAGCATCACAAAACAAGATCCCAGCCTGACACCCACGGTTCAGTGAAGGGCTGGATAAGCACAACACAGAGCTAGAAACTGCCCTCAAGAAAAAACAGCCTAGTACTATGTTATGATTGTGCTTCTCTCAACAGCTTCATGAAAGTTTTGGGTACTCTCGTGGCCATCAATCAGAGAGTCCTGCAAGTAAAAACTAAAAACATCTTAACAGTAACTAATAGAACAAAGTTAAATTCCATCATCTCCCTCTGACAGAAAGAAGTACAAGAAGCTACAGATGGACATGCTTAATTAACAGAGTAATTTTGGGATTTCAGTTAAGTGTAAAGAATCATGGCAAAATATCCTTGTTATTCATGGCTTTAGAGCAGAGTGGTTATCCTGCATCTAGATCCAGAATTTGGTAACAGCCACACCAGGGTAGGACTGTTGATAACTTCGAAAACAAAGCACTCTGCACACCTGCAAATGCTTTCTGTGACTGCAATGCACTTTTGAGCTGTAAAACAAGCCCTAGAAAAGCAAATGAAAGTCCTTCCCAACCCACAGAAGTCCCCACTTCTCTTCTGTTTTCCCCTGCTCCCCACGTACCGCCATGTCCACGCTCCTCGCCGCCACAACATCTTTGGGTTTTGCATCTTTGGTTCCAATGTAGGAGCCGATGGTGTCACAGGACCAGGGGGAGTACTGGCTGTAGTCATTTCCTTTGTATTTCCCAGCTACCTTCAGGTCTTCATCCAAGTACTGTACAAAAACAAAAACCTGGTTCTGTAAGTGAAGGGAAGAAGCAGCTTCACAGCCACCCCCCCCCTTACTTCAACAGCAGCGAACTTGAGAAACACCACCAGGATTATTTTTTTATCAGATACATCACCATTTGGAACTGGGCCATGGCAGGCATGAAGTGCATGAAATTCTGATCACCTGGCCACGCTCCCAGTGCTGACTGTTCACTTGGCCAGTATGAAAGTGGTATTTTGACCTTGGTTAAAAAAATAAGTCCCTATCAAGCTGTTACTTAATTCTAAGAATGTCAGAAGCAAATGAAGTAAAGTCCAGTAACTGTGAAGACTACTTCAATTAATAATAGCTCAAAATTTATTCTCGTGGTTGCACCAAGAGCAGATAGCTTAGAATCAGTGGTAGATCAGAGAATCAACAGCCAGCTGAAATACTGGAGACTGCACTGCAAGGGCTTCCCACCTGGAGCACAAAATCCACAATCCACTCACACACTTGTGATGTACTGGTTTGATTTTCTTGTTACCCTCACCTGTCAGCACACAAAAACTCCAAAGTGTTTTCTAAACATGCCAGCACGTTAGTTTTTTGTCAAAATATGCTTACCTCCTCTGAGTGAAAAGGATGAGGCAAGGTTGGCGACGGTGCAAAAGGAGGTGGAGAAATCACCTTCCTCTCCTCCAGCTGGGCCATGATTTCTTTCCTTCGTCGGTGAAGTTCATCCAGGCTGGGATGAGGCTGAAATGAAGACAGAAATATGTTACAGAGCTCCTGAAGCATTATTGCACAAAACTAGTAATTTCCTAAGGGTTGTTTATCCAAACAAAACATGGCAGCCTTATCCTACAAGAAAGGGAAATATAGAGGACAGACAGAATCATTAAAATAACAAATAATGATCACTTTGTTAAAGTCTACCTGCTACCTGTCATGTTTGATAGAGAACATAAATGTTCCTACACTGGTCAGTGTAAGTTCAAGATGCCTCAAAGACAGGGCATGCATCCCAACCTGGCAAAGTTTCCACTGGAACATGTTCCAGCATGTCAAGTCCCCATTTCAGTCACGTGGGGGAAAGTGGGAGAACTCTACAGATCATAAGCTCGTCATATTAGTTATTCATTTTGCATTAAACATCCCACAAACGTGTCAAACTCAAAACTGGTAAGTCTACAAGCTATGTTAAAAATGCTTCCTGGACTCAGCAAGAGGATTCAGGGCCTTTAATCTGAATTACAGATGATGTAAATCCAATTAATTCTGCAGAACTTGACTCCAGCTGCTGCCTTCCCAGAACATGTTTGCTAACTGAAGGGTCTTCTTCGGACAACTGTGCAATCTTAGAGAAAATCTGGCAGAGTGGAATTTTCAATTCCTTTACTATGAAATGTATGTTTAATATTTCTTATTTAAGCACAGAGCTGGTCAGTCACAGCTGGGCAGTACAAGAATGCACACATGACCATTTCCACAAACTGCATTTTATCTGCAGTGGAGTGCAGATTAAACTCCAGCCTAATCTTTGCTGGAGAAACCAGGGCTGTATGAGACAATTACAATGCTTTTCACCAATGCTTTTCTACTTGGAGCACTAAATAGTAACCTGCTGCTCTTCTACATATTATAATAATGGCCAGTCTTCGTGAATGAAGATTTTGGGAAAGGTCTTTTACCTTTCCAGCCTGCGCAATGGATTTTTTAGGTGAGACACAGCTTGCACTGAACTGAGCCCACCCTTTAATCCTAAGGTTCATCTGCCGGGGCCAAGCAAGCTTGGACAATGGCAGTGAGGTCCTCAGGACGTAGGTTTGTTTAGAGTGACCTTCTCATAGATGGATGGCCTCACAGGGCTAACGAGCTCCATCTGCCCGGGGGACGTGGAATTGAACCTGGGTCGCAGCGGTGAGAGTGTTGCATCCTAACCACTAGTATTATTCTACATATTAACATCATTACAACTGCAGAGTTGACCTGTAACTAAATTGCCTTCCAGGTTTCCAGTGGAAACCTCTATTTCCTCACAAAGCCCTCACCGCAACAACATTCAACCTGGAGCAGCAGGAGAGAAGAAGTACAAAAGGGCAGCACAAACCCTGTGGCAGGAAGGCCTGATCTGGCCGAGGTGCGGAGCCACCGGGCAATAGGCCTCTGCCTGCTGGTATCTGTCTCTGGCCTCGGGCACGTAGGGGGTGACGGCGGCGGGCGGGATGTCGATGGGCACGGGGCTGCCCCGCACCACGTCCTCGCGCTGGTAGGGCGGCACCGGGGGGTACACGCGGCGGCTGTCGTAGTGCGGGGGGTACAGGGGCTGTGCCAGCGGCGGGTACTGCTGCGGCTGCGGGTACTGCGGGCTCACCACGCGCTCCGGCAGGTACGGCGCGTACGGCTCCAGGTACGGGGCGCCCGCCTCGGCGGCTGAGGGAGGCGGCCGGACGAAGCGGGACATGGACTGCGTGGGGTAGTACACTCCTGAGGGGAGGAGACACACGGGACAAAGGCATTAGCACCGTCAAAGCGCCCCAAGGACTCGGGTCTGCGTGAATCATAAAGAAAACGGCAAAAAATGGTCAAAAAAAAAATGGTCTAACTGATATTTCTATTCAAGAATTAACCACAGAAACTCCTGAAGCAGCAAAGTCAATCCAATTATTTAAAGTTCAGTTATCTAAATAAGATACCAAAAAGGCATCTAGCACCGTCAAAGCGCCCCAAGTACTCCGGTCTGCGAGAATCATGAAGAGAACAGTAAAAAATGGGCAAAAAAAAAATGGTCTAACTGGTATTTCTATTCAAGAATTAACCACAGAAACTCCTGAAGCAGCAGAAGTCAATCCAATTATTTAAAGTTCAATTATCTAAATAAGATACCAGAAAGGCATCAGTGTTACAGTAGCTGGAGAAGGGGTGCTGAGACTAAGCCCATGGTCCTGCCAGCACACCACATAGAAATAATTCACCAGACTGCTGGGAATGCTTTCAGCTAAACAAAACCTAAAGAGTAAACTGAAGATTAGTCTGTACATCTTCATTCATGCAACTAAAATTCAATTTGTCCCCATATATCAGAGCCACTATTTGTGTAAAGGAACTCGGATTATTAGAATTTAAATATTATCTAAAGATTTCTTCTACCTCTTGAACAGTAGAAAAAAATTTCAGAATTGTGAATCACCAAAGACTTTTAAGATCACACCTCCTGGTTACCTGAACATTTTAATATTCTGTCTGGGATCTCTGGATAATTTAAAAATAAGCATAAATATGTGCATAACATTAAATTTTGTAGACAACTCAGATGTTCAGTGGTACATAATGACCAAGTGTTGCCTGTTTTTCTTCAAAATGCTCTGCAACTTTCTCAAAAATGGGTTTGCCCTCCCCTTTCCCTTCTAGGGTTTTTTCTTCTCCCAACTTTTCTTGGTCTTCCATTCCTTACTTTCCTTTCATATTAACTTTACTTTAGCTCATTTCTCTCTGCATTCTTACACTGCCCAAGAATCATTCCCTGTCTTTATATATAGCCATATCTTTTATTTTTAATCCCCTTCAATATTACCTTTCTCCACTTGGTCTCTTTATACTTAGGAGTTTTTCCTCTTAGTTCCTTAGTTCCTGCTTTCTTTTTTGTGAACACCCTTCTCTAATTTCATTTGTCTCTACCCATCACATGCACTTAATTTCCATTTTCCCTGATTCAGACTGAATTAAGGTTTACCATACTGGATCTTTGATCTAGCCCAGTTGGGAAGAACTGAATACAGAAGGATTTGCTACGCTGAATGGATACAAGTATCTGCTTTAATTTGCATTGAAGTCCTCAGTCAAGACATAAAAATCCTGCCAATTTCCCTTTTATGATGCCATCACCACATTAGTGTCTTTACTCCATGTCATAGGCAAGAAAACTTCAATTTAAGAGCTTAAAAACCAGAGTGGGAAGAAAGATGAAAATCAGCATGAGGATGAAAGAGCTTGGTGCCAACCTCACCTTGTTGGTAGGGTGCTGGCTCAAATGGTGGGGCAGCTCCTCTGGGGTCTTGGTAAAACATATCTGCTTGTTGAGCATTGTACAACTGAGACCCTCGTGGTACCATCTGCAACTGCTTGGTGACAGACACTGAGGGCAGATCTGCTGGGGCCCGGGGGGGCACAGGGTGAGGGTTCACTGGTAAGGCAGAAATAGAGCTCTTGGGGACAGTTTCCAGCCTGAAAAGCAGAAAGGTGGCACTGCCTATTAAGGCCTAGTACAGCACATTGCATTCTCACACACTGTTCTTCATCTACACCCCACCTTCTGAAGGCTTATATCACCTTCTCCAATTAAAGGATAAGTAAACAGTTTAAAGTTTTAGTTATAGTTTTTTACTCTACTCTTTAATCACTAAAAAAACCCCAAAAAACAACAACAAAACCCAAACCACAAAAACAACCACAACCCCAATTTCACTTCTTTTCTAGAGAATGGGTTTCCTTAGTTTCTACTCCACAGGTACAAACATAACACTCGGAACAAGAGGTAGGAAGAGCCGTACAAGTCAGGAGGGGATCCAGGGGCGCTGCTACTCAGATGGTCCATCTTGCCCGGCTTCAGAGCGGTTTCATAACCCGAATCAGTCCCTCGAGAGATGAGCTGCGTCACCGTGCTGCCTGTTGACACAATTCCATTTGGCAGGGCAGAGGTTTTCCTATTGGGCAAGTCCACTCCCCCTTCCTCTGAGAGGATAGCTCCTGAAGGCAGGCCCACCTCGTTCAGCTGGCCCAGGGAGGCACTCAGGGGTCTTCTGGGAACCAGACGTTTGTTCATTTTACGGAATCTTCGGAAAGAGAAACCGCACGTCAGAAATTGAAACAGAGAAAAGGAAAAGGAGCTGCGCTTTCAGGAGTTTTCAAACACAGGTTCTGTTGAAAGCTTCAAGTTTTAACTCAAGTTTCCAAGGGGCTTGGGAGAATATCTTTTAGAATACAACTTGCCTGATAGTTGAACTCTTTAACAGCAGTTTCAATCAGAACAAGGATGGATTTTGAATGAGAAGTACACCAAGAATTCACAGCTAAACTTCACATAGCAAGTTTAAAATCTTACTGTCAACATACACATTTCAACTGCACAGAAGGAAACCAAACATCACATAAAATACAGTAACAGAAGCTTCAGAGTAAGAATCACAGAATGTTCAAATCTGTTTTACTCAGAGAAGAAACTAACAGCAGAAAATTAAAGTGACAAAAGACAAAGATACCCTTTTCCTCCATGTGTCCAATGATAAGCCAAGTGTTTACTGCCACGTGGTATCTTTTAAAGCGCAGTTTAAGATTTATGTTACTATATCAACATACAGTTTACACCATTTGTGTGTATCACTTGATAAAGTGATTGACGAGATAAAACCACTGCAATTCCAAAAATTCTGAGTAAAGCCTGAAAAACACAGGCATTTTAACTAATGTTCTAAAGAAACCAGCAGGCTGGCAGTACTAGAGAGCAAATTCCAGAGTTGAAGGTTCTCCACCAAACCCCTGCCATCAGCTCAGATCCCAGAACAAGTGCAAGGGTGGATGTGCAGACCTGGGTGTTGTCAGCGAACAAGAGACCATTTCCTCACCAGGGTTGAAGCCAACACTTTATTATCACATCTAACAGTCAGAGTGAGATGGGAACCCAGGCTAGGAAGGTACACACATTACTGTAGAAAAAGGGGACACTTATTACTCAGTACTTAGATAATCCTTGTATTTGCCCACACGCACAACATTAAGGGCAATGCAACAGCGGCAAAAAGGGGGTTTATTGCCGGGCTTGTTTTGGTTTTTTTTTGATGTGACAATATAGAGAGCCAGACAAAGTATAACCTTGCTATACACATTTGGGCTGTTCACCTGTAAGAGTTCATTGAGTATCTTCCAGCCACCTTCCTAACTCTCCCAATTTCCAGGCTGGATTAATCTTTACCCATGCATTTGAGCTGCAGTGTGCTGACAGTGGGCATCATTCAGAAGGCATTAAAGGGAGTACAGAGACCAGGCTGTCACCTGAGCAGGGACAGACTAGAGCTTTCTAAACAATTAATCTAAAAGTTCAATACTTGCCTATGCACACTGGGTCTTTGTCCCTTGTACCAAGAGCGTAATAAGCTGCTGTTTAAGCAAGGCTAAACCATAATTTGCTATCTAAGGCATTACCACACACTTCCCCATAACCTTCCTCCAAACTGAAATCTATATATAGATACAGGAACCACACAGCAACAGCAAGGCTTATTATTCACACTAAGCATTTTTAAAAGGAGGAGCACTGACACATTAACTACCTAAAGGATTTGGCAAAGATAAAAGCACAAGGAAGAGTTAGAACTCCAAGTTCCACGACCACCTACAGAAACTACTGGAACCTGAAAGAGAGCAAACATTCACTTTGGCCCATGACAGACAACATCAATACCAAGGCATACAAGTCAGTCTGGGGCTACAACAGGCCTCTCCCACCTGCCAGCTGTTTAGTCCTTGATACACACAACCAGCTCCACACTGACCCACCACCCAGCCCGGGTTAACGGAACCACCCCAGTCAGCACCACCAACCTCCAGTTTAATAACACGGTGACAAAAGGCAAAACACCCCAACTGTTTCTGCAGCACACAAAGTCCTATTCTTTGTTCACTTGAATAACTGTCTTTGTCATTCTAACAGCACAGGCTCTGCTCTTTTTCCTTTCGTGTTTTGCCTATGCACTGTGTGCTGGCTGCAGAGCCAGTGAACTGCCATATTAATGCTTCAAGGTTAGATTAAAAAAATGAAATACTGCATACTAATTACTTAAAATAAATAAAAACAACCTGCAGAACAACAGCATCTTGCCCTTGGATAACTCAGGGCCCCCTTTGAATCTGTAACAGATGTAGATTATTTGCTGCAGACTTCATATCACCATTATTTTTTAACTCTACATCAACAGATTTAACCAACTGAAGGTTACAGCACGAAACTTTCTGACAGATTGCACAAATAACTGCTGCAGGAAAAAAATCTTGAAAAGTTCATTTTTAGCTCTCTGGAGAGCCAGCAACACATTCCCTACATTTGGAAAACTGCCAGCAATCCACCTGAATACAAAGGGAAGATGAGAAGTACCCCAAATAACAACCACTGTGGATGCAGGTTTAGTCACACTTTAAAAATAAGGAAAACAGCCAACCCTCAAATAATACTTGTGTAACATCAAACTTCTGGAGCTGCATTACTGCTGAACAAAGCCAAATATCCTGTTTGGAAGTACAAGCAGTTCCAAAACCTAAGACAGACTGTCACAGGTTTTTCACATTATTTCTTCTAGTGTATCAGCCAGGTTGCACCTCCTCCCCTCATTCCTAGATAGGATAAATAACTCTTACAGGTAAGATGAAGCACAGATTGGACTGGTTTCTACTAGCAGAGGTACACTTACTTTTCCAGCTCCTCCTGGGAGTGTGCAAAGGTGCAGCTGGCCCCCCGGGGACATCCTCCTCTCTGCTTCATGTCTCGGCACATGTATGTCTTGTACTTGCTGTGCTGAGGGGGCTGACAGGGGTAAAGAAACCAGGTGAGACACCTCAACTTCAAAGTGCACTTAACCAAGAGCTGAGGGCATCCTCTTAGCCAAGGCCTGCTGATAATTCCTTCAATTTAAATGTTTCAGGAGCACCTGATGGGAAATCGATGACTGGAGCAGGTGTTTGGTTCTTCCACGGAATCAACAGACTCAAGAGTAGATGTTTTGACAACTAAGTCACTATCAGGTTTCTACAACATTTTAATTCAAATTCTTTACTGGAGGCTCTAACTGGAACACAGCTATACATTTCAGGACACAGCTCAGTGGACAAAACTGATCTAGGATGAAAAAATTACCATGATAATCAGAAATTATCAAATATTTATCAAGTTATGTGGTAGACTGAAAAGAAATACAATTTAGTTGCTTTTTCTTTGCTTTCTGTTGGCTCAAAATGGCACTTGAGTATCCTTTCATCTGCATGAGAGTTAAATTTCACCACCTTTCCTTTTACCCCTTTTTGCACTAAAAATATCTTCACTATCTATAATTGTTTCCATCAACAGTTGAGGGTACAATCTTACTCCTACACAGAGCAGCAGGGGATGGGCTGTCTTCTGTATTTTTCTTAGTGAAGTTCCCCAAGAAACAACAACTTACTGCAATCTTACTGTCTGCATGGTCACCCATCTGCCAGTCCCTCTAAATAAAGGCTGACAGAAGGCCAAGAGGGGGTCTCAAAGTCCTTCAAATTCCTACAGTTTCTGCAGCAGAATTAAATCAGAGACAGAAATACCCTACTCGAGAGCTCCCACGGAGGGAAAGGTCTGTAGAAGTCAACTTTTGCTTTCTGAGAAGCTCAGCCAAAAGGTGTAAATCCCTAAGAAGTCATTTGCAAACTGGTTTTTAATTTTTTTATCATCTACTGTGGTGGAAAAAAAGCTGCAGGCAGGGTGTACCTGAGCTGCAGAGCCTTGTGCTGGCCATGCTGCCAGGCAGCACAGCTCTGCCCACTGCCCAGCAGACGTCCCTTTCCCACTGGGAAGGCTCCAGGTTCCCTTCCAAGTGGCACAGCCTATACCAGGTCTAGGCCACGGGCTCACAAGAACAAAAGCCCTCAGTGTTTTTCCCACCCTGACTCCCACTTGTGCATTTGCTTTTCCTTTTTGCTGGTGACAGTGCTCATTAGCCATCCCACCGAATGCAGAATGGTGAAATAGCAGAAATAATTCACTTTAACTTTGCCTTTTTTTTAGTAATCTTTCTACTGGTTGAGCTCCCTGGAGCAGCTCTCCAAGAGGAGGAGTGGGGCTGGGACAGGCAGCTCTGCCTTTCAGCAGCAGCAAGCACTGACAGCAACTGAGCTACCCAACAAAATGAGACCAAAGGAAGGTGTGATTAGATAACCATGAGAGATAAGCTCAAAGTATAATATTTGCCAACATAATTTCGTTTCTGAAACAAAAACATTCGGTTCAGGAACTTGGATTGCACCTTTACATAGAGCATTCTTAAATCTTCAAACTTGACAGACCATTAAGCACAGGTGTAAGAATAACTTCATTAACACAGAGCCAGTTGGCTGCAATATGGCACAGAAGGCAAACCCAAGAAAATCCTACAGATAATAGTTGCACCCTGGCATCCCTTCCCCACCCTCTAGTCAGGAGGGTTGTTGTTCATTTCCCTCAGCCTGCAGCTGGATCAGACTCTTTTCTTTTCATCCCAGTGAGCTGTGCAAATTATTTCAACAGCTTTTGGGGAGCAGTTTGTTTTGAGGTTTTTTCCTTGTTTCTTTTTTGATAAGTATGACCCAGCAGTGATATTCTAATCAGCTCCTCATCAAGCCAAATCTCTCCAGATGACATTAGTAAACACTGGATACAGCAAATCAAATTCAAGGGTCAACATTTCCTACGTGATTTAGCTTTTACCTGTTGTTGATCTGTTCCTTTTTTGCTGTGATTCTGGATATAATCAACCAAGCCATGAACCACAGTTCTCACAGCAACTAGTCCGTTTTCCAGTTGTTCCCATGTTGGAGGTGGAGCATCTGATACATGGACAGCAAACAGAGAATAGAAAAAGAAAAGTCAGAGGGATTTTCTAAAGCCAGGTAAAAAAAGAAAACAAAAAACCAACAAACCATCAGGATCACAGAACTTCACTAGACAAGTAGAAGTGTTTATCAGTACATAAAAAGTATTTGGCAACTTAATTCCGGGGTATTTACCTCTTGTACAATAAAGGGACCTACAGACTCAAGACTGAACTGCACAAAACACCAAATGAGCCAGTAAGACTTCTTAGCATGCCAAATTATTTATTTTTATAAGAACTTTCATCTCAAGAGCTCCAGAGTAAATGCACTGTACAAACTTCACATAACAAAAAACATCAGGCTGAAAATCCCTCTTTGCATTCAGACTCCTGCAGGTGAAATCATTCCATACAAACACCTGATCCCTGGCCTGATCCCACAGGCACAGTCACGGAGCAGCAACAGGAATTGATGCCTCTCACTTGGAAAAAACATCACGAGGCAAATCTGTCTCAGACCACCATCTAACACACAGCACTGAATAAACTGTACAGTCTCAATTCTATAGGAGAACTTGAGGGTTTTTTCAGCCAATTTGCTTTTCTAATTTTTTGAATCTGTGCCAGCAGCTGACCCTCCCACCCCATGCCTGCACACTCTGCTGCAAAGCACAGGACCTCAAAGTGCCCTTCAAGATCTTTAGCACAATTAATTACATTAGATTCCACTCACAAGGTCTAAATTCTTCCAGAGGTACTTCCAATGTGCCCACAGAATGGCAGGGAAGCAACTCAACAGCACAGAAAAGAACCATCAAGACCAGACTTGCCTGCTGAAACCAAGTGAGGCTCTCAGTGATGCTGCTTCCCTTAGCAGTTTTTGGCTAACAAATCTGCAGGGCACACACAGTTTTGTCCCTCACTTGTTTCAGCATGAAAGATTTGGGAAGAAAGCACTACATCTCCTTTAGCTGTGAAGTACACCTGTTCTCATTTGAAAGGGAAGTTGATTTGTTTAAAATACAGAAACTAAGAACTACAACTTCTCATCTCCTGAAGTAACACTTTAGGCCTTCGCACTATTTTGATGCATAATGATTTTACACATTTTAACAGGCATGAAATAAAACTTCAGCCACAGCACTCTGCTCTGTCCCTTCTCTTCTCCCTCAACGGGTCCACCCTCCCAGCACTGCTGATTTTTAATCAACAATATTCATCTTTCTCTCCTCTGTCAACAGCTTATATTCTTTTCTGCTATCTTCGCCTTCCCAGACTGTCTCTCCCACCTTTGCAGAATTATACATTAACAAGAAAAACACTAAATTCCTGAAGGTAACAAATCTTTCATGTCTAGACTAATTTTTGCCCAGCTTCTGTCTACTCAATCTATCGAAATTCTACTGTGGAATCCAAAATTCTTTATACAGAAGATGTCTTATGATTTTAAGCTGCCTCTAAGAGAACCCTGAGTGCAATGTCTGCAGGCTGGAGACCTCAGATCAAAAACTAATACAAAGAACTTCCAGAGTAAAGAAAAAGACATACAATTTTCAATAAGGTAATGGAAGTCCTTAATCTGATGAGTTGAAGACTTCCCCAAGTTGGTTAACAAATTATTTGCTGCAGTAGAGAACTGGAGGAAAAAAGGCATCTCAGTGATAGCTCAGGCTCTGCTTTAAGCACAGTGGCTCTGTCAATCTTCCTCCTGTTTTGCAACGTGGTTAAAACAGCAGCATGTGGACTAAAAGAGGGAAAAGAGGGAACCTCAGAGTGCTGCCACTCCCCACATTAGCACTGCCCAAGTACACCCTATGTCACCTCACAGGATTATGTGCTGAACACTCTCATGAGAGCTCACCCAGTGCCACCAAACAAGGGAGCTCATCTCGGAGAGGTGGGGAAATGGTTCCTGCCATACTTTGGAAGCTATTTTAGCTTTGGAATAGTTCAGTTCCTCACACAGATTACTGCTGTTCCAGGCTGGCTTTGAATACCACCCAAGAATCTTAAGTTGATGAGTCACAGGATGCTTCCTTATACTTGATGATCAGCTTTCAATCATTCCACTGTGTTAAGCTCCTCCTGGTTAAACCCTAAGTTACAGGTTTTCCAGACTTACCTGGACTGGGATCAATATTTGCCAGGAGTTCTAGGTGAGGTCGCAGACGATTCAGGTTAGCTGGATCTCCAGTCCTCTGCAGAGCAATAGTCAATTCCTGAACACTCTGTGCAAATGAGGCTGGGGTCTGCAACTTAAAAAAATTATCATCATTAACTTTCTACAGGCAAAGCAATCCTCATGGTTTCTGAAGGCTGCTCCACAAGCTCACAAGAGCTGTCTCCCAAGTCTGAAGGAAAACCTTTTTACAGACCAGCCCATTTCAGCGAGCCAAGAATGCACAATTCTCTGACGTTGCAGATTAAAATACAGCTCTAAACAGACAAAACAGATGCTAGTATTATTTCTAGCAGTAAAACCCATTTCTTCTGTGTTGTGCTGGCACTCAGATTAAAAATGGACAACGTTATAAACCATTCAATTTAGATTTCTGAAGAGTCTAATATCTTCAACGCCCCCCAGCAGGTTTGCACCTTGCTTTAAACTGAGTACAGCAGACAGTAAAGAGCAAGATGGTTCAAGGAAAAAATAGAAACGTTCCATTTACTAACATCACACAACTCCATTATTCAAAACCCTTGAATTCTACCTAGGTCCTTCAGGAGATGTCTGGCAGAACACTTGAAAAAGTGGGCAAAGGCATAAATACACCGCAGACAGATCTTGAAGCTAATTCTCCTGCACAGCAGCCAATGCAGTTGTTTCACAGCTTTCCTAACCATTCAACAAGATTCAGTTTTTCCCATCCATTTTAGGCACTTACAATGTGAGTCCCCTATTTTAAAAGCCCATGTTGCTTCTAAACACAAAGAGATCTGGGCATTTCCAGAGGTCAAATATTTTATTTGTGCCTTACTTCAGCTATAGGCTGGGGGACTGATTTGTTTCCTGCCCGGAAACACAGACCATTAACCTCTGTCACTACACTGCCAGTTGTCAGCTGTTCACAAAGGTCACATCCCAATTGTGTAGCTGAACTTTGTGGCTTCCCATCTGCAGAAAGAAGTAAAGTAGCAAGAGACAGCAGGATGGCAGAGGGAGCAAGACTGATCAGGTTATAAATACATATTCTAATTATTTAGGGCATAATAGGCTTTGAAATAACAGGGTAAATGATTAAAGGGCGAGTACACATAGAATCATAGAATCAGCTGGGTTGGAAGGGACCTCCAAGATCATCAAGTCCAACCCTTGATCCAACCCTGCTGTGGTTCCCAGCCCATGGCACTGATGCCACATCCAGTCTCTTTTTAAAAGTCTCCAGGGACGGAGAATCCACTACTTCCCTGGGCAGCCCATTCCAATGGCTGATCACCCTCTCTGGAAAGAAATTCGTTCTAATATCCAACCTAAACCTCCCTTGGCACAACTTGAGACCCAGCCCTCTTGTCTTGCTGAGAGTTGCCTGGGAAAAGAGACCAACCCCCACCTGGCTACAACCTGCTGTCAGGGAGTTGTAGAGAGTGAGGAGGTCTCCCCTGAGCCTCCTCTTCTCCAGCCTGAACAGCCCCAGCTCCCTCAGCCTCTCCTCACGGGACTTGTGCTTGAGTCCCTTCCCCAGCCTTGTTGCCCTTCTCTGGACCTGCTCCAGGACCTTAATGTCCTTCCTGAACTGAGGGACCCAGAGCTGGACACAGCACTCCAGGTGTGGCCTCACCAGCGCTGAGTCCAGGGGAAGAATCACTTCCTTGGACCTGTTGGTCACACTGTTCCTGAGCCAGGCCAGGATCCATTGGCCCTCTTGGCCACCTGGGCACACTCTGGCTCATGTTCAGCTTCTTGTCAATCCAAACTCCCAGGTCCCTCTCTGTCTGGCTGCTCTCCAGACACTCTGTCCCCAGCCTGTAACGCTGCACGGGGTTGTTGTGGCAACATGGGCATAGTTTGTAAACACAAGCCCCGAAATCTACCCCAGCTGCATCCAAGGAGGGCTGGGCTGCTTTGAGGTGGCTTTACCTTGTCGATGATGCTCTGCATGTGGGATTTGTGAGACTGGTCTCCGTAGAGCAGCGAGGACCACTGGTCTGGGGCGATGCGTAACCCCGCCTCCATGGCTATCTGAACGATCTGAGAGTCGTGTTCCCTCCGCAGGGCTTCGTATGTCCGGAATTCCTCCTTCAGCTGCATCAGGGAGGAATCCTCGTCTCGCTTTGTCACCTAGAGGGGGGAAACGAGTCAAAGGCAATTAAGCAGGATAAGCCAGAGATTATGTGAAGCCCAAGACAAGTGACATCTTCAGTCAGCAGCTAAGTCCTTCCTCCCAAACTGAACTCAAGTAGGACAATATGCAGTGAACACCAGTTTCTGCTAAAATAATACACTCTATGAAGAGATGAGCCACTATAAAATGGATAAAAAACATCATTTACTCAGACTCTGACCTGGTGAAAGTGTCACACTTCCTAACTGACTTTACAGCATTCACACCTTACTTCTCCAATCAAGGAGATCTGCATTTCAGAATTTTGTTTGAGGGTACAATTAGCACAACCAAAGCATTTTGCTACTCATTTAGCAAAAGTGAATGACATTTAGGTTGAACACCTAACTAAAGGATCATTAAATACTATAAAGTGTACTAGGCAGCTTAAGTTCTCTTCATACAACTCTCATGTCCAAGAGGCTCCTATTTCTTTGTTTGTGACAACATCACCAGTGAATTAACAGAACTAGGGATCTTCCAGCTTTAAGCCACTCCTAAGGAGATAAGAATGTTGGCTTACATCCAGGTTTTGTAACTGTGCATCTATTAGACTGGACAGAGTCAAATCCCAGCTTTACAGCTCCAAGCTGCAGTTTCAGCCTATGCTGCCATCACAGCCGTACAAAGAACTCTCCAAACACACGTGGGATTTAATGAGCAATACTGTCTATAACTACATATTTTTTTAGGCACATTTAATGTTACAGGACAAGGAAACTCCAAAGTGCAAACAAACAGTTTTCATAGCATTATGAAATCTCCAGGCAGAATCTTCTTCATACCTTGAAGCATGAGGCCCTGTACAGGAGCTGGACAACGTGCCCAATGCTAGTTTTGGAAGCCTGAGGGAATCGGGGCTCCAGTCTCTGCACCACAAAGAGAACCAAGACCTTTCGTGACAGAGCAGATCCATCTTCCAGAGCCAGCAGGACCAGCTTTAAAGCCTCCTCTTGCATTGCTGAGGGTGGGGGGAAACATGAAGAAAAGAGACAAAGGATGAGAGAAGCCTGAGAACGATTCGTGCACAATTTCTTGGTTCCCTACAAGTGGGAGACCAGCTACAAACTCCCCCAACACACACACAAACCCACATGAAATGATGAAATTATTATTTCATCTATTTTGGGTACCATCTGATAGGAAGACTTCTTTGTTCCTGTCTGTACACCTCTTCATTGTTAATGTAAGAGTTTTCCAAGCATATTATCCATGTCCCACACCTACTCCAGCAGAAAATGCTGACAGGCTGAGGAAGGGCAAGGTTCATTCCCATGCAGGTAAGAGAGCAATGAGTGCCCATGCAAATAATTCAGGTGCTGCAGCACCTCTATTTTGCTTGGTAACAAGCCTCTCTCTTGCCTTGAGTGGTACCAAAGTGAGCATCTCAAAGTCAGCCCTTCTTAATCTGTTTCAGTGGGGGGAAAAGTGTCACTATTTTTAGTTTAAGAAATTGGCTGCATATTTCAAGACTCAACAAGTGAAGCCTATATTTTCCATAATGAGACTTTTTTTTTTTTAAGCAAAATTGATTTTTTTCTGGTATTCTAAGCAAAGGAATGTAATTTCTAAGTCCATAACTTTTTAAAAATGCGTACATATAACTGTAACAAATCTATCCCCCCAACTGGTAGGTATGTTTATTACCCCAAAGAAGGCAAAGAAGCCAAGTCCAGCCTCTTCTAGTAAACTAACTTTTTCTAGGAGAGTCTTACTTCTTCAAGGAATAGCAAGAGAAACTACTTCTCATTTATCTTATGACAAGAAAAGGACACACATTATTCTGAATTTCACAGAAGACTTGCAAAAGCACTCAAAATGCAAGGAAGTCCATGACAGCAGCCCAACAGCCCAACCTACCATTAAGAAATGAAGCTGCTGCCTAATAAAACCACTCGGGCAATTTGATTTACCAATGGCTCAGTTCTAAAGGGCTTCCAGCACAGCACTGGCACTGCTGTGTCACCTACCTGGCCCCAGGAACTGGCAGCCTCTGGCTCTCACTGCAGCCCAGAGGTTGGAAGAGAGCTGCTGAGGGTTCTGGTGCTGGAGAATGAGCTCTGTGACCGTTCTCTCGCCCAGTGACCGCGCCGCTCGCATGGCTCTGATCCGCCCCTCCTCCTCCACCAGCTGGCAGTGGACTAATGTCACAAGTTTCCTCTGCATGGGACGACTCAGCACGCTCTGAGTAGTACTGTTGAGACCCACACCTTCAAAACAAAATGAAACAGACTAATAAACTACCTCATATTTCCTCTTTTTGTGCCAGCCTTCAGTGACTGTACTGCACAGTGCACACCTGATGTCCACTTTGTCAAACAGAGCACTGCACAAGGCACATCAGATGTTCATTTTTGCCACCTTGTCTTATTTGGCATTAAAAGCAGTCTCCTGGGAGTCAGCTTCCCCACAGGTTTAAGTCTTGTGATTGGCTGATCTGGCTCTCTAAGAAGGTGGAACCTCTAATGAATCCTCTCCTCGTGCTGGTAGTTTGTCCCACACTCTCAGTTCATCCCTTATTCAGGAACTTCAGGGATCACTGGGATATTGGTTTGTTTTCACAAGACATTTAGTTTCCTGCCTACATCTGATATCTCCACTGCTTTGGCCCAGCCAAACTGAGCTTACACATGAGTCCTGAACTGCTTGGGGTGCAAAAACTCTGATTCACAAAGTGCTGGGAGCCACTTAATCCGGGATAAAGGAACGAGTGACTCACCAGGCAAATGGCTGCCATGTTGAGTTTGTTGCACAGCCAGGGCTTGTTCACTGGGCCACTACTACCCAGAGTCATGCTGCTGTCACACTGTTCTGGGCAGAAAGGACTGAGACAACTCCCTGGAAAAATTCATTTCTGAAACCCTGATGCCCAGGATGCTCAACTCCACTCCTTGGGCTGACAGACTGTCCAAGTCCAGCACATGTGGTGCAGATAAAATCCATACTATTGAACACAGTGCAGGTTTGCTAAGCTAGAATTACTCAGACTGATACAGCTCCTCTGTAAGATCTTGTTATCACAAAGCAGAACTGAAAAAAGTCTATTTTTACTTAGTCTGCAGAGGCCAAAGCAATTTACAGAGTTTGTCTCAGCTCACTATATCATGGCCAAATAGCTCAGCCTTTTCTCAGAATTACTCTTGACACCTTCCACAATGCCACACCCACACCCCCACCATGAAAACATAACCTTAATGTTTAGGAAAACTGCTTCAATTTGTTTCTAAACTAGGTTTATATTCATTTTTCAAACAGACTAACTAATCATTTGCATAGTTTATTTTGCATCTTATTTGTTTCCCACTCTCCCTGTCCAAGGCAGCAATGCAGGATCTACCTCTGGCACTGCTGAGTGGTTTGAGGTACAATGCCAATTCTTCCACACATTTCTTGCCCTCCTCATAATGCTTGGTGTCTTCAGCTCCACTGCATAAAGTAATTGGCTGCTGCTCAGGAACCTGGAGAGAGATGACATGGACATTTACATGAATATGCATAAACAAGTGACAGTCATGCTTACAAACACTTGTTACTATGAAGCATTTCCTGTTTTATTCCCCTTCTGTGTTTTCCCTATATTAATAAGCATTTTTTCAGCTTGTTTACTGAACAAACAGCATAAAAAAACCCAGTGAAATGAAAACAAAAAGACAGAGAATTTATGTTTAGTAGATTTCCTTTCTTTAGTGGCTGACAGGAACTAGAAGCAGGAGGCTTAACATGGCACTTCCTATAACTACAAACTTTGGCTAAAATAACGCACATTGAAACATCCCCAAAGTTGGCTGGCCAAAAAAAATCAGGGGGAAGAAAAATAAAAAAAAAATAAATCAGAAGAACCCTGGTCTGCAGGCAAGTACTGATTTGTATCTAGAGCCTCACAGCTCTAAAATCATCCAGGGATAAATTACAGCTACTTAGATTAGCAGGAGAAAGATTTAGCAGCAAATACACTATGACACCCTTGGAACATATTCTGACTAGACCAAATTAACAAGCAGCAAGACCAAGTTATCCTACACAGTGCATATGAACACACCACTGACATCTGTGGGTTTGGTTGTTTGGGTTTTTTTTCCAGTGAAATGTCTTCATCCAGACATTCACCAGAAATCAGGACTTTTCAAAGGGATTTGCACCACTCCTTCCCCAAGTTATGATTTTGTTTTTGCCTTCCTCTAGGTTAATTCTTAAAAGCTTTAAGCAAATTTCAGGCTGCAGTATAGCACTGCACTAACATTCTCAACATCACTATTCAGCAGCCAACCCAACATGACAGCACAGAGAACTGGAATTTCTCAGAAGACTAAACACAAGCACGTTTTGCATATGCTGTCAAAGCACAAACAGATCTCAGAGTTCTATTTCCAAGTCAATCCCTATCCCAGTGGCAATAACAGCCTGCTAATCCCACATAGCTGCTTATGGGGACCAAGCCAGGCCCTCAATCTACAAGCACAAGCCTTTAATGCCTCAGTTAAATACAGCTACAAACCCACCCACCTTCACGTGCAACCCAGCCCTGGAAGAGCAGTGTTATGGCAGCACTGAATAAAAGCAGGGAATATATATAAATTGTATATATATATACATATATATATACATATACACAGACATACAGATACAGTTGTCATCACCAAGGGGGACAGGAGCTTTCCCATCTATTTTAACAGACAGTAATGTTTCAACCACATGATCACACTTCTCCTTACACAACAATCTCTGCTGAGTTGCTCATTTGACACGCAGAGCAAAACAAAAAGTTACTATCTACCTGACTCTTGCTTTTACAGCAGGCAACAAAAATAGTCTCAGAGTGCAAAATATCAGCTGCAATTAAGATAGGTGATACCACCCCAAGACTAACATAATCAAGATAGCCTGGATCAGGCACAGTCTCTTTCACTCTAATTAAAGGGAAGACCAAAGCCAAGACAGCAAGGTTGGCCTTTTCACTGACTGCAGTTAACTTGTCATGTTCTGGGCTTTTTGGTTTTAATTTTGGGACAGGGTTTGTTTGGGGTGTTCGGGATTTGAAGGGTTTTATGAGTCTGTGAGCAAGAAAGCTTTCAGCAAAAGGAGATTGCACAAATGGATCTTACAGTGGTCAGACCTAACTGTCACAGCAGACTGGTTTCTTGGGATCTGGGAAACAAATATTAACACCTTCAATATTTACTTGCATGTTGACAGAACACTGCACACCTCCCTTTTGAAGCCACTGCCATTTTAGCATATGGCTCTGCTTAGGCAGTCACCCAACAGAGCTGGATCCACTACCAAGAGACATCTCCTGCACGTGTGCCCAGACAGAGCCTGTCCCATCCCTGCCTTAGTTACTGTGGGCATAGATTTTGTGCAAATTCCTCCTTATTCCTGCAGCCATTCCATCCACACCACTGACAACTCAAACCATAACCCCCAGCAGACAAAGGGGGCTGGGGACAGACGTGGGACAGGAAGCCTGTTCAGCCCCGGCTTTGGCCCTGAATTGAAGGGGCTTTAGCACACATTCAGAGCCGTGTTTGGAATGCCAGACACAGCAGAGCCACCAGCGAGACACAAGGGCTGTCTAGGCAACTAACAGAGAGCTTCCCCCTCCCCCGGGGAAAAGCTGGCAGAGAAAAACCTCCAGGAGTTAATCAAGCTGTTCAACACTACCTGCCTTTATTTCTCCCCACACACGCTTCACTCACTCATGCAAATGCACCTCACAATAAAATTCACAAATAATTTTCCTTTTGCTGGTTCTATTCTATGCACTTGCAAGAGTTACTTTAATACTTTAGGGTTAGAATGATTGTAAGAACAGCATCTCCCAAGAGAAAAACTGTAAAGACGTGATTCATAAAAGTCACAGGAAATGTGAATTTTATTTTTGGCTCCATCGTGAAATTGCTGAGGGACAACTGAGAAATAAGTCAACTCCAAAGCATTTTCACTTCCCCTTTGCAAAATATCCTTTTAATAGCATGCATGGAGAATGACCCTATGGTCACTGCTGTTTACAACCTCTCTCAAGAGCCCTAGAATATATGCCCTGCAGAGTGAGTTCATTATTTTCAAGCTCATTCCATATTCCATTCTCTCAGACACCACACCCTTATCACAGTTTTCACTGCAAATATATTCACACCATGCAACCGACACCTCCCAGGGGGGACGAGAGCGAGACAGGAAAAATGATCTCAGATGTTTAATTGCTTTAGATTTGTGAGGGTTTTGCATCTGCCTTGGCAATGCCTGTGAGGATCCCAGCAGTGGAATGCTGCCCATCAGCTTGGCTTGTGGCTGTGGGAAGAGGGGAAGAGGCAGTTTATGACGGCATGAGGAAGGGGACCGGAAAAGAATGCTAAAGCATCGCCTCATAGCAGGCAGTGATTTGGAATTGGTGATTTAACTGTCATTTGATGAAGGATGTCAGCCTGAGTTGTCACTAATTACCATTAGACATGTAATTGCACGGAATGAGAACATGTTAAACAGACTAAACCCCTTTTTGTCTGGTTTGAAAACTCTTTCTCCCGATATTTCCCCCTCCCTCCTCCCTGTGAGTGGAGGATTTGCTTCCTGCCTCCCCAAAAAAACCCAAACAAAAACCCAAACAAAAGCCTAGTGTCTTCAGTTCCTCAAAGGTTTACATTAAGGACAACTTCTTCACAGATAATTCCTCTTCTGTGGCACTTCATTGCACCAAAAGTTACAATAAAAAATGATCAAACAAGCCTCTAATAGCTCTGCAATTGCAATCTTCCCCTTTTGAAAGGGCTGTGAGTTAAGATCACTCCACCCATTCTCTCATCATGTACATGATTCCATTGCCCAATGTATCTGTGGTGTCCAACAGGAGACTATGAAAGACATTAAAGCACCACAGGCATTTCTGCCACCCTGTGTCACCTGTTTGGAACGTGCACGCTGCTGCTTCATGGGTTAAAAAAGCACGAGGGAAGAGCTTAGATGACAGATCCATGATTATGCACCTTCAAAACACTGGCCAGGTGAATGCTTAAAATAGTTGCACGTAGTGAGTAACATGTGGATGCTGGAATAGCTAAAATTCTAAATGCCATTCCCACAGAAACAGGCTTAAGGGACTTCTTGTAAGAAGCAAGGTATCCCAGGAGTGCCTTACTGGTTTGTGCCCAAGCCATTGTGCCTCCCTTCCCTCACAATATGCTTAGCTCTGCTTAGGGCTCAGCTATTTCCAGCCCTCCCAGGAGTAATAATTCTCATCTTCCCCTTACAATCCCTTCTGCTCCCTCATCTGCTGAACTCATCTAATCTGCTGGGCTGAATTACCCAACCAGAGGGGCCGTGGAATCTCCCTGTCCAAGGCCAGGCTGGATGGGATTTGGAGCAACCTGCTCTAGTGGAAGGTGTCCCTGAGATGAGCTTCCAGGTCCCTTCCAACCCAAATCAATCCATGATTCCATGCCCACTGCCTCCCAGCCCCTGTAAGCACTGCTGACCTGTAACACGCTTTAGGGGAGCAGGCAGAAACTTGAGTCCCTCTAACAGTTAATTTTCACATCAAGGGTGGCTATAACCTGGGCAACAGGTTTCATTTCTGGAAAGGGGTGGGGAGAGGGAAAACTGAGAAAGAGTCTGTAATTCAAGTAAGAAAACAACTCTTCTTACCATTAAAGTGGCAAACCAACCCAGAGAGAGAATGCTATTGTCAGAGAAATAGGTTACTGCTTCCCCAGGTGATTGTGGGACAAGTTTAGTTTTCCCCATGAAGTACAGCCCTGCTGATTTTACCCACTGTGCCAAAGTGACTTGCCCTGGAATCCCATAACTGCTGCCAGTCACAGCAGAATAGATTTGTTTCTTTAAACAGCCTGGTCTCCTCCTCTGCCTCCAGCAAAAAAGCACTTAACACATAGAAAAGTGTGAACTTCTCAGAAGTCTCCCCAAAGGGAAAAGAACAAACTGTTCTTCCCCCTCACAGATAAAAGCTTTAATTGTGCTGTACTGAATTTCCTTCTAAAATGAAACTTGGTTTTCTGGAATTTATAGTTTAAAAATAAGGTATTACACGTCTCCATGGACTCAGCCTAAGGTGTCCAGGTGTTTGTTGGAGATGAAGGGACACTAATGACACACAGACCCTCCTGAAACTAAACCACGAAGTGGAACAAGAAAAATGGGTTTGGTTTCAACTGAAGTCGATACCACTCATGCTTTGAAAGCTGGATTGCTGCTCACAGACCATTTTTATTGATATATACCAAAGAGAACCCACGTTCTCAAACAGGACACAGTTCAAAATCACTAGTTTCTCTAAAGCACCTTTTTATTTTTTTTTAATTTGTCCTTAACCAAGCCCTTTTCTCTAAGAAGATTTAAAAAATGGCCTCAGAGAGGCTAGTGGGAAATAGCAACTGTTTCCCTGTCCTCCCCAGTGAAATAGTGTACTTATTTTCTAGTACTCCATAGCCTGGTAAACACTCCAAGAGCTGCCAGGAAGGGGCAGGGAAGAGAAAGGAGGGTGAGTTGTACTGAACACTGATTTCATTCACATGTTGAAATTAGGAGCTGGCTGGGAAGGTGGTGCAAACTTCTCTTAAGGGGAAAGTTTCTCAGTAATAAACACCCAGCTAAGATCCATGATTATCATTCAGGTACCAGAATTGCTGGGAGCAGCAAACATGCAGCAGTGAGTGGTAAATGAGGGGCGTGGGAATACTGTCTCTTTTGGTGGCATTTGCAGCTTGAAGGTCATCAGGGAACAAGGTCCTGTGAATCTTGATCACATGAAATTCTAAGATGTAAAAAGGAGCACGAAATACTGTCATTAGTTCAAAGCCAGGACCCAGAGTCTCAAGACAAACAACACTATAAAGCCTCTCTTCCTTCTTCATACCTCGCACATATGGATGAGAAACTCTGGCTGGTTAACTGGCAAAACCAGAATAAAATTCTCAGTTACCCATACAGAGGCAGGGTGGTTTTCCATTTCATTCCAGAGGATCTTGTTTTTATGGAAATTGTAATTCAGGCAAAGATCAAGTTTATCACACAGCTTCTCACAAAGCTTAACAAATGCACACAAACCAACCGAAAAAATGCAAGACATTTATCACAAGTGTGGACATTTGGGTACAGCTGGAACTATTCTAGAAACTCCAAAGAGGAAGGAAGGAGATGTAAGGGAGAAAGAGAATTACAATATTTATTTATGGCAGCACCCACAGATCTCAGTGCTTGGAAGCTCTTCAAAGATGGTGGCATATCACAGAAATGGGAGTGCACAGTCTCACTGCCTTCTCCTGCAGAGCAGGATGAGTCACTCAGCACAGCCAGAAACACCACTGCATTTTAAACTTGGAGAATAACTTCTATGCCACACACCACAGAAAAACAACAGCAAATTAGCCATATTACTTGATGAACTTAGAAGTGGCAAAAACATGGCTGGATTTCAAGGTCCCAGTACCTAACAAAAAGCAACATAAGAGTATCTTTCTCTCCTCCACATCTTTTACAGCTCCTCCACAAAATTCTTTCCTTTTCCCTGAACTATGGATCTCATTGAATTTCCTGCTGCTTTCAACTCTGCTGAGCCCAGGCATGGAAGCAGAACAAACCAAAACAACAATCCCTGTATGGTAACTGTCCCCATTTACATTTTCACTCCTCACCCCTAAGTTAGACATGATTGTCCCTCCTCTTCCAGGTCCACAATCCTGCCCAGCTTTGGGAGGTGCAGGTCACAGGAAGCTACTAGTGATTTAAGCATGATAAGTTTATGCCAATTTAGGTCTGAGCTGAACAGGGTGATCCTGCTCTCCACACACCCCTGCCCCTCTCCTGAGGCAGTCATCAGCACCAGGGATACTGGTCCCCATCAGATCACCCCTTCAGCTGACCTCACCTGTTCCAGCAAAAAGGGGAGTCTTGGGCAAGTTGCCCCCATCCACCTACGTGGATTTAGAGCGACATGTCAGCTCAGGAAGTTGCATTTCCAGTGCACAGTTTCAAATTAAACATAAGGCTGTATAAAGGCTGCTACCAGAGGGGTTTGTCCCACTTCCCTTACACTTCTGACCTGCTTTTGGGACAGCTGGCCACAGGTCTTGTAGGGTGAGTACAGTAAAGCACATAACCTACAACAGAAGAATGGTTTCCCACTAAATAAGCTCAGTGATCCAGCTCATCCTTTCAGCAGAGCATGGCTGGGTAAGACTCAGGGAAGAAAGAAGGGAACAGAACAAACCCATTCTGGTGACAGCCCATGGTCACACTGAATTAGATGTAACAAAAATCACAGTCAGCAACCAGTAGAATCAACATCTAAACTATTGTTCCAGGTACCTCTGCAACTTTTTGTAGACATTTACAACAAAGCCAGATGAGTGCTCCACACACCACTAACATAAGTCACAACTTGTCCTCCTAGAAGAAAGAAGGAAAACACCCCCCCAGATTTTGAAGCAAAGCAAAGCACTGTTGTTACCTGAGCCCCCACGAGCTGCAGCAGGGCAGAGTTGACAGGGAGGAGCTCAATGTCTGTGTTGATAGTGGTCTGGTCGAAGGGACATGCCTTGCGGTGCAGCTTGTTGAGGCACATCTTGCAGACGGTGTGGCCGCAGCCCAAGCTGATGGGCTTCCGGATGGTCTCGTCGAACGTCTGTGTGCAAATGGGGCAGGAGAGAAAATCCGTCCATTGTGGAGCTTGTACAGGCATTGCTTCGGGAGTTAATTGACAGGACAAAAATCTAAAGCACAGATTCCACTGGAATCAAAATCTTGGGAAAAAAAAGTCTGTTTGTCTTTAAATATCTTCTGTAAGTACAGACAGTCAGCACATAGTGTGAAACATAACCTAGAAGGAAGCAGAAACACACAGTGAGCATTCTGGAACAGGCACCAGAGACCCTTTGTGCTCAGGAAATAGCACTTGTCCAGGTCCAGCTGAACTGGGAATGTGAGGTAGGGAGTGCAGTTCTGACACTAAATACAGGACTGAGTCATGACCTGCTTTAATTCCAGCTAGTCCCTGGCACTGGAAAAGCCACTTTAAACCATTTCTGCTGTTATACAGCTTAAAAAAATAGGCAACAGATAACTATCTCATTGAAGTTATAAGGCTAATTAGTTTTACAGGTTTATGTTCTCTTTTTTTCTTCATAAATGAGCCAATTAACATCAGTAAGATTTGAATAAAAAAGACTCTTTTTGAAGGGCTGGTGTGCTTATTCCACTAAACCAATTTTTTTCATGGTATTCATTATGAGCTTTGAATAATTTTGCTTAGACAAAGCTTTTATCACAAGCAAGCTTTCTTCAGAGTCCAGTGGGCTCCAGATTGGCACACAGTGACTCTGGAAAGGTGGGAGTTGTCCCAGCCTCCAGAGGGAAGAACATTTCTAGAACATCTCAAGGACCCTTCTCTGACCCCAATTTACATTATTCCCTGCCCATCTAGAGATTATATTGACAGAGAAAGCAACATCTTTAATGTATTGAGAAATCACACAAACTACAATAGAGGAGAACCTGGGAGGTCTTTATCACTTGCCACTTTTAAATCAAAAGGTTAAGAGGATCAAGTGTTACTAATTATGAGGCAATGGAAGAAAAGACATCCCTTTGGGACAAAAAAAAAAAAAAGCAGAACTCATGTGAGGAGGAATATAAAAGAACAGAAGGATGAAAACAATCATTATCAGAAAGAAAATTGGTAATAAAATAATTTCTGATGTCTGGCTTACTTTCTATCACGAGTGGAGTTGGAAAAAAAAAAAGAGAGGGCAGGTCAATGATTTACAACCAATTTTTCTAAATCTAGCAGCTAAACACCAACAAAAACCCCAGCCCAACCACCCAGATGTGGGAGTTTCTCTTTCCCACACGCCACTGGCTTCAGTTTCAAACCCATGAGTGTGCACTTGCTTGCTAGTATTTGTTCTGATAGAAAGTTCTCACATAAGCAAAACAGCAACCTGTCATCAAATCTTAGCTTAAAAAACAACCTCACAATTTAAATTAAAATCTCATTTCTAAAGGCAAAGAGAGAAACTTCAAACTAAGAGTTGTGCAATTCAAAATCAAAGCATTTTAAAACAGCACCAAAAAAAAATCTAATGCTAAAACAGAGACTGAAAAGCCTCAGGCATTTTTTCAAGAATTTAGTGCAATGTTGTTCATCATTAACATCATTTTGCCAAGGCAAACAATGAAGAGTTGCTAGTTAAGCTTTTAGCCATGTTTCATCAAACATTAAAACTTAGTTTTAAAGCTAATGAAAAGGAGCTGGACTCCGATGATCCGTGTGTGTCCCTTCCAGCTCAGGATACTTCACGATTCTATGAAAAAAAATCACTTGTCCCTTCAAAAGACAACGTACAACCCCCCCAGCCCTGGTGCCCAGCCCAAAAGGGATCAATAAGAAATCAATATTATCCAGGCAGAGGAAGAGGCACTGCATGTGGTTAACCCCATCACCACTGCACAACCAGAAGATGTCAAGGTTGTTCAGGGTTCCCCCTCCAAATCACCTCTTTAATAGCAAAGCACTCATTTTTTTCATCTTGTCAGCAGACAGGCAGATCATTTCCATTACTTGTATCACTATAACCCAAGTGAAATCTTTCATAGTTTCAAGTTACTTCACTGAAGTAACTTACTAAAACATCCAGGAAATTTATTTCCAAGCTTTCCCTTGCTTCCTTATATTTTAAGTAAACTTTGGTATCAAGTATTCCAGCCAGAATTACTCTTTGTAAACCAAATCTGCAAGAGAAATTAGCTGGAAACTCCACAGAAGTCCTTCTGCAGAGAGCAGAACACAGTTTGATAAATCTAGTGTTATGAAATACCACCGGAGGTTCAAAATCTGAGAGCTGAATCACATTGTTTCCTTTAGGCCACACTGCTATTGAAATATCTACCAACAATTTCCCAGACTCATCTGCAATTCAGAAACAAACTGAACAGCCTATGTGAAACACAGATTATTAACCAAGCATTAAGAACAGTTTCTTACTAACTGAGGAGATTTAAAACCAGCAGCTAATATGAAGCTGTACCATCAAGAATATAAGGTAGCTGTGGACATTGAGACTCCACCATCCCAGGCTCTGAACTGGAACAAAGGAGTTAAACGCAACCTTAATATGAGTTAACTAATTTAAAAACCCCAGTAAACAGAGACATGCTGTTCCTACCTGTAGCTCTGGCATAATGAAATAGGTCATACTTATTTACAAAATCAAGTTGAAAGAGAAGTTTGGGGAGTCGAGGGAGGGAGGGAGTAATTAGTGGCATCCATGATCCCACGTCAAGGCAGGTCTCAAAAGGCTGGGGGAAACAAGGGAAGCAAAGCTCATACATAATCAGAACTCTCAGAGACTCCACAGTGCCTGTGGATGTGTCCTGGTGCCTCCATGGCAAAGGAAGGCCACAGACAGCACTGAGAACAGAATACAGGGCTGGGAGAAGCCTCAGGACGTCATCTACTCCAGCACAGCCTGGCTGCTGGAACAGATGGCTAACTGGCAGGATACAGCCAACCTCCTCCCCACAGGAGAAAAGAAGAGCTGTTGGAGCAACAAACCCTGCACTGCTAATAAATCAGATCAGCACAGAACTGTGGAATTCCTCCGGTCCCACAGAAGACAGGGATGGCATCCCAGGGACTGAGGACTGACGAGCCGCAGGCAATACAGGCTGGCACCAAACCAAGCCCTGCTGCTGCCACCACAGCTTTCCACATATATGGTCCCGTTTTCCTGCTGCATCCTCAACCTTCACACAAGGAAGCAGAGCCAAGTGCTGAGATACAACATAAAATTCTCCCAGGCACAAAGCATCCGGATGGGGCAGACACGTTCAGAAGCGAAGCTGGCAAAGGTGTGTGCCTTGTCATAAGGTTTAGGACTTGCTACAACCTTGGAAATAACTGGGGAAAAAATAGTCTCTAACTTCAAAGAGCTTCTTTAAACAGGAGACATTAGAGATGGCAATCAAACAATGGAAACAAGACAGTTTCATTACCACAGTCAGCTATTAGAACATCACCACAGAAGGAGAACACTTCCCTGTACAGATAAGGTAAGAAAAGTATATTCACTTTCATTGTGCAGTTTGTTTGTTTTTAAAAATGTTTCTCTCCACCATTATGCCAGAGGGGAGAAAAATGCAAAGAATGTAAACATTTATAAAAGACATAACCATTTCAATAAGCCCCCACTTCCATAGTATTACATTTTTAATGCAACTCAACTCACTATTTCATACCTGATACCTTCTAATGCCTTAAACATATATCTACATACACTTGTTCGTGATTGAAGAAAATAAAGATATGCCAGAACTCAAGAAAACAAAAAACTAAAAGGGCACATCACAGTACCTAAACTGGAAGACAAAAAGGTGTAATTAAGCATGAAGATACCCCAAGACACAAAATACCACACTAAACTAGAGATAGATTGATTTTGTTATTTCCAAGCATGAAAATATAAAATACCGGCATGCAAGCCTTGTCCTCCAGCTTAGCCCTGCATAAGCTGTTTTATCCACAGCCAGAATCACCTGCAAAAATTCCTGCTCTTTTCTGGGTCTCCCAGCCCCCAAAAAATCCTTGAAATTCCATCCTTCAACCAAGACTGGAAATGTCACGCTGTAATCAGATCAGTGACCCGTCTCCTCTGGGACCCTGCCAGTGCTTCAGAGAAAGGCAGGATCATTCCATAAACCACCAGGACAACTTCCCAACACTTCATCCCACTCCTTACTCCACAATGCAGAGGGGGAACGCAGCCTCCTGTTCACGCTGTGTTATGTCTGTGGCCACCAGAGCCTTCCACATGTCGCCGTGGAGCTTTGCAGATTCAACTCTGGACAAAAAGTTGTTTGCAAAATGCAGAACACTTTGTACCAACATCCACTGTCATCAGGTTTTGCACAGGACGACACAGGAAAACTCCTGCGCTCCCAGTTCAAATCCCTGTCCCTTGAAGTTGCGCTGTCCGAGGGAGTCCCTCAGGGCAGGTCCCAGCACTGCCCAGGTTCGGGTTCTCTCCCAAACACGGGGCTGGGGCACAGTGTGCACTGGCACAGCCCCAGCCCGTGCTGAGCCCTCCCTGCTCTCCCCAGCAAGCCATGGCACAGCTGAAGCAGATGACTCAGCACACCTCAGGGGCACCCTCGGCTCAGTTTGTGCCCTTCCAGAGGAAACAAGAGCACTACCTGCTCCTGGCTTTTACTTATTCCCCACAGCATTTCGTTCAGCTTTTCTTCCCCAAGCAGTGTCATCGCCTTCTTGACCAAAAGTCTGAATAATCGTTTTAATTGTCTGCTGTTCTTTTAGTCCTGAAGCCGTTTCATTTTTGCTGAGTCTTGCTCAGAACTAAACCGAGCAGAGCTTCCTGTTGCAGTTACCAGTGAACACAAGTAAAGCCTATTTATTGCTAAGCTTAACACTACAGCAGCTCCTCACTGCCAAAACAAACTCAGGCCTGCCAACCGATCTGCTCACGCAAATACAGCTCTTGGCTAATCTATTATTTAATCTAATAAAGAAAACACCGTTTCATTAATTCCTTTAAAGACTCTTACTACTTAGTGAGAACTTGCACATTTCTGAACCACATGCAGTTCTCTCTCCTGTGAGACTGGTTCTGTGACACATTAACTATTTCAAAACTCCCCTGACACTTTGAGATTAAAAATAAATCAACAGCCTAAATTAAATTAACAGACAACAGTAAAACAATTCCTAACTCATAAGGATCAGAGCCCCTCACTAGTTCTAGCCACCAGCTGAACCCCTCCATACTTGCCTAGTGCCAAACAGACAGATTTTTACCAGTTTCAAAG